GGGTTGGTCCTCTTGCCTCTGGCAGGGTTCCATTCCTGGCTTGTGTTGTATTCCTCAAGAGCAAGTCTACAGCAATATCTGCCTTCCAGCAGCCGTGATCCCCAGAGGCCTGTGACTGACCAGTTCAGCCAGTTCAGCTCCTTCTAGATTCTGGAAGAGCTGATATCACAGCAGCTGGCAGTGGGAAGATGTCACCATCCTGGGCTTTAAGCCAAAATAGTTGCCCAATTTGGGAGATTGGCATCTGCCCCTCCTTGCTGCTTTCTTTTAACTCCTGCCCAACACTCCTCCACAAGGACGGGTGGAAAAGAACAGAGGTGGCTGAGTGAGCCTGGGAAACCCTAGATCTGTCATGGGGGGATGACACACTCCTAAGAAGGGAACCGCTGCCTGCCATTTTGACTACTGAAATCTGTTTCTTGCCAGTTTCCCTAATTCCCTAAACTCAGATATTTTCCCTTTCCTGCTAAATCCACACAGGGCTCCAACCAGATTTGCTGAGACTAGCTGGCTTGCAGCCCGAGGTAAGACATACCAGCTGAGCCTCAATCCTCCCATATGTGCAGTCAGGCAGCTGGCCAAGCTCCAAGGCTGCTTGGTATTATTGTCAGTGTGGCAGAGCCCCACCCCTGCATAAGAAGGCTGGACCAACTCTTGGCCTGTGCCCACCACCAGAATGGCTGTGCCTGGAGGATACTACCATACACTGCCCAATCCAGGGGGCACCACTGGGCATCATTAACATTCTATAGCCCCAGCTGTAGCAAGACCCTATTCCCTCCCCGATCCCCAGGACAGACCAGCAGGCTAGGAATGTCACTTTATTTATTCATGGGGTGGGGCTCCCAGAGCAAAATAGGGTGCCTTCAACAGGCAACTAGGCCCAGCCAGCTGAGCTCCCAGCACAGGGCCTCATTCCAGCCCTTCATGGACACAGCCTGTCCTCCTGCAGCACAGCCTCCACCTTCCCAGCCTTCCAGTATTCTCCTCCACCCCACATGAGCTATGGACAGGCCCCCAAGTCCTGAGGGAAGGAGGGAGAGTCCTGAGCTCAGTGCAGGATGAACAGACCTACTAAGGCACAGCAAAGCCCACAGGGTCATAAGGGCTCTTCTGTAGGTGGTGTCTGCTAGGGATCCTGGCTGGGTGGGGGCTCCACACAGCCACTGACCATCCAGAAGTAGTTTGGGTGCACCTGGCCCTGCACAGCCTCGCTGACCATCGACTCCCCATCCACTGTAAACACACCCCTCCCATCCCTGGGCTCCAGGCGGAAGGCAACCACGGGCACATACACCAAGTAAGGGCAGTCATAGTCCATATGCCTGCCTTTCTCCATGGCTAAGAAGAGGCGCAGCAGTGAGGCCCGAGACACGCCTGCCCGCAGATAGAACAGATGCATGGCCCCAGCAGCACAGCGGCCCATGGGCGCTGCAAACATCTCGCTGCCCAGGTGCGAGTGCAGCAGCACCAGCACCAGCACAAAGTCCTGCTCAGGCACCACGGTCCAGTGAGAGGGCACTGGCTCCTCCAGGGGCACCAGGTGAGTATCCACAGGGCCCTGCTGGACCAGAGCTGGGGAAGCGGTTGTCTTGGAGACCTCCCTTCCTACAGGGAGGTAGGCCAGCCGGCCTTGGTAGGTGCGCAGGGCTGCCAGGCGCAGGAAGGTGCCCAGAGTGAAGCGCATCTGTCCCAGGTGCCGATACTTCTCACTCTCCAGGTCCACATCAGCAACGAAGCCCCAGGCCAGGCTGAGCACAGAGAAGAGGTGCAGCCCGGAGGCGGTGTGCAGTGACAGCAGATTCATGGGCGACAGTAGCCGCCGGCACAGCAGCAGCGTGCAGTTGGTCAGGAGGTCTTCATTAGTCACCTGCTCATAGCTTCAGGGAGAAGAGGTCAGATTGGATAGGACAGAAGCCCCATGCATCTTCCCCTTCCTCCTCCTGGGGCCTAGGGGCAGGTGGTCCCTAGAGAGGTGGCAGGAACAATGACAGATGGAACAGTTGGGGTCACCAGGAGAGGGCCCCAGAACTGAGGGCAAAGCTCCAGAGGGAGACGAGGGAATGGAAGTTACCTTGGCCTATGGGAACTTAGAAAAGGAAACCTGGCAGCAGAGGGGCACTGAGGGGAAACTGAGGCCCACTCTGGCCATGGGCTCTCACCCAGCATAATGGTTCAAGGAAGCTGCCAGCGCGTTGCCAGAGCCTGCTGGGAGGCTACACAGGGGCTTCCGGATGGCGGTCTCCCAGTCAGGCCGCTCCATGAGCCCATTCACCACCTGTGGGAGCAGGTGTGGCTCAGCCTGGGAAGCACCCCACGCCCCACCGCCCAGGCCGGCCTCTGGGGCAGGCCTCACCTCGTGCATCAGGCCGTCCCCGGACATGACCACCAGCGCGTCCCAGCGGCCCAGCTCCTCGGCCCGCACCAGCTCCCGCGCGTGGTTCTGCCGCTCTGCAGGGAGACCTCGGCTGTCAGGGCAGGGATCCCCTGGCAGGGGATGCTCCCTGCACTCCCTCCAGGAGCACTCACCAGTGAGCATCAGCGTGAAGGAGACCTCGGCCTCGGCCAGGAGGGGCTGCACGTGGCTCCGGAAGAGCTGCAGGGCCTTGCCCTTGCCGCTGCGCGGGTTCAGCAGCACCAGCACTCGGCAGGGCCGCGGGAGTCGGCCCAGGGGGTTCCCCTCTGAAAAAGCAAACCCGAAAAAGCCGCGTCCCCAACAGGCCACTAGGGGGCTGAGGACAACAGCGGCACTGGGCTGGGAAAGTGGTGCCTGTCATACCCGGGTAGTTGACCCAACAAGCCTGCGGCCTCCTGTGGGGAGCTGGAGGGGGGGT